GCATGCTGGTGACAGACGTGTCAAGGAGAAATTTTGGAAACAAGTGTTGGAAACATCAGGAGATCATGAGTTTGATCCCCGGTGAAGCTTCAGCCATTCTTTGCCAGGAGTCCAAGCACAACTGACCTGGCTCTCTGTCTGGGTGTATAATACATAGGACGGGAGCATTAAGGAAAATGGCGTACCAAACTCTGTTCAAATTAGCTCACACCATACAAACTACTCTTTATAAAAAAAAAATTCTTGTTCCTTTTTACTGTATTTGTTTATTTGCATTTATTCTAATATATAATGTTCAAGAAGCATAAACACACAATCAGATAAATAAGATAAATGGCTTTAAACAATGTAGAATGTGTGTATATGTACATGATCAAAAGCAAATCCTGGCCAGAGTTGTTAGCTTTGTTTTTTCTCTGTTTTTTATTCTGTAAATGCACAAAAACAAACACAGACACTCAGACAGGCACTCACACACGTAAATCACTAGCTAGGAGGGAGAGATTGCTCGTTTGTTGTGAATAACTGTGAAAAGTTGCCATCACACCATTAGATGGATTTGCTAAGATGTGGTATCATTTCCAGCACATAATGCCCCTATTGTTCTCACACAGCCATTATCCTTCAGCTCAGTCGCTTCAAATGATCTGCACCACAATCACACCAGCACAAACAAACAATTGCTCCTGCGCCCTCCATACTTACAGCTGGCTATATTATGGCTACAAAGCACCCTCCATTTGTTTCAATGATACCCAATCTGAATGAAACAAAAGAGTAGTATCACATTGTAGCACAAGTATCATTACACATTGTATTCAGTAGAAAAGGGAAAATGTCAGACTATAGTATTGCACACGATTTGGCTGTATTGTGGCATCCGCCCTTGGTCCAATTCAGTGACACACACACATTTTTTCAGGCTGATCTGAAAAGACATTGATTCAGACAATGATATGGACAATTGGGCTGGATATCAGGTTGATATGTGGGAGACTCCCTAAGGATTCAGTCAGAGTGGAAAGATGGCAGTAAGCCAAGGCAAAAGCATCTACAAAAGTGTCTGGTGAGAGTACATGTAGGTTACAGTCTACACATGTTGGTTTAAAGGATTAGTACAGAAAAAAATCTGTTATCCCTTTATTCCACATGAAGTTGATAAACCAAGAAGTTCGCTTCTTTAGTTTTGCTGTGTAGAAAAATAGACAAAATTCAGGTTTTAAATTGTCTAATACTAATGTGACACATTTTTGTTATACTTACTGGAAATAACAGTCATGCAGCGTAAGAAGCCACATAAGCAAGTCAGGCAGTTTGCAATGATTTAGTCAGTGGTAACTGGTGGCATATAACTTTCTGTGACTTGTTGGCGTGGGCTGCACTAGCCTTACAGCTTGAGGGCAAAACTAACCTTCAAAGACCAAAGATGTCTTCACTGAACGACTACATTTGGGCTATGGAGAAACAGCAGATAACTTCAAAAAGTCTTTAATTTTTAAGAGTGGGAGGATCTATATCTGCTGAGGCTTAACAGAAAGGAAAAAGCATGGGTGGAATCAGTTTTGGGTAAGCAGCAGCAGGCTGAATTATTTAAGACCCATCTACAATTTCTCTTTTGGCTTGGAGCGTCAAAACAGCAGGAAACACAGAGACTGAAACTTCGGAGGCTAATTAATTTCCAAACTTCACCCCAACGATGCAAAAAAAAAACTTTGAGAGCAAAAAGGGATTATTCAGCAAACATGGCAAAATGAGTCTTTGAAAGCTTCTTATCTTTGGAAGCATAATGTGCTTGTTCGGATGGTTTTCTCTTGACGGCAGGCTTTCTGTTTGGTGCCACGCACAGAAAAAGAGCTTGTGTATGGCTTGTACTAGAGCTAAGATTGATTTCAAGCGTCTCTCTTACCCTTGAAACACTGGATGCTTCTGGGCCTGCAAAGAGAATACCAATGAACTCCCATGCTCTCCTACCGTCAACGCCCTTGTGGAAATAGCTGGGCCAGCTGTGAGTGCTCCCTTTATTATAATAGTTTTATAGCAATATCATTACTTTCTAATTAGAGCAGGGAAATATATCAGGAGGCGGCACCTATTCCCTGCTGTTAACATGATCTACAGTTGTACTGTAATGACCATGGGCTGAGAAAAGACTAAACGACAGGTATTTAAATTGAAATTCCTACCGATATAGAGTGTAGGCACTTTTCAAGGCCTTGGCAATATCAAGCACTTTCATTGTCCACTGAAAACTGACAGTTTCCCCTATATTCGTGTGACATATAAACACTGCGCTTTTTAAGGCATCGACAGGGCCAGTTGGCATTCGTCAACTGCATAAAACTCAGAGATGCACTCGTGGCTGTTTATGGGGCCGGCTGAATGAAGGCTGTCGCCTCAATAAGCCCTGTTCTCGCCCGTGAAGCGGTGACCCGCTTTAAGGGGCTGTAATTGCCTTTTTACAGTGGCCACTAAATCTGAGAGTGCCCTCGCAGCCTCAGCTTGACGTGCTGGCATCATCTGTCTCCTAGCAACCGCCATCCACAATGGCCAGTTCTGTCTTTATTTATTAATTTTGTCTTTGTTGGGTACTGTGTGTTGTGCTTGTAGACAGAGGCTGTGTTTGTAAACTTAACGCCTTTGAGATCTGAATTCTACAAATGCGTGTGTATTTGTGAATTTCACCAGAATGACACAAACAAAATGCTGTGCATTCCAGTTAGTAAAACAAAACACTTTATAATAGTTTAATAGTTTATGATACTGTAGCTACACTAGTAATGGCAGCTCTCATTTGCCTAAGTCTTCCAACTTTGATTTGATGAAGGCAAAGTGAGACAATAGCCACATTTACATGCAGCCTGATAATCCGTTAATAATCCGACTAATAGCTCAATCGGAATAGAATACGTCCATGTAAAAACCTCAATCGGAATAGTCTAGTCCGATTGAGGCCATTCGGAATACAATTTCTATCCGATTGAACGAGGTGGGTAAACCTCTAAATAATCCGTTAAGTAAAAGAATAACCGTAATAATAGAATAACCATGTAAACTTCTGAATCCGATTACATTCCAATCGGAACGTGTAAGTACGTTCTGCGCATGTGCGTCGCGTCATGCGCAGAACGTACATACACGTTCCGATTGGAATAGCGAAAGTTTATACCGTTCAACATGGCGGAGCAGAAACTGGTCTGCAGAGGAGACAAAGTTTATCCTCTGATCTTTAAAAGACGGTGGTGGGACGGATGTCCAGCTTATGTGTCTCGGAGCTCGAAGTCTTCCTCTCGGCCTTTTTTAATAAGGACATGTGAAGTACGTTTTCCTGAGTCTGACATCATTTTAAAGCAATTAAAAACACAAGCGCGCCAACTGGAAAGTCATCTCACGCGGACTGGACCTCATGTAATGTTCGCTGTCATGGTAACATTTACTCTCAACGCTACTCCACGCATGCGCGTCATTTTGCATCGGATTACTTGTAGTGAGCATGTAAACGAAGATTTTCCATCAGATTGTTAAATAGAGTGTGCATATAAACACCTCAGTCTGAATCTGTAATCCGATTGCCAGTGATAGCCAATGTTTACTGCTCAGACAGACTAATCTAGACCCAGTTTCAAATTTTCCACATCATAGCAAATCAAATATTAGCCCCAATAACACTTTATTGTAAGGTAGTGTTCATAAGGCTACATGACACCTAAATAAGCTTGTCATGACAACCGACATAAACTTACGTTGACATTTATAAAGGCTGTTTTTGTCAACTTTGATGTCAAAGTCAGATGACATCGAATTTTTCTGATATTGGGTTGTATCAAGGGACTTTTTTGTGTAAAATGACATAGTGTGTTATAACAATTGACTTTGCAGTTTAGTGTACATCACAGTGACATAATTCTGTGACGTAGCTTAAATCTTATGAATGGTAAAATGAAACCACAAACAACTCTCACTTTTGTTCAACAAGCTGGACTTCGCAAGCTATGTCATATTATCAGCATTATGTCACTGTGGCAATAAAGTCTATGTCATTTCACACAAGAAAAAGCATTTTGCTTAAAAAACATCATCAGATGTTATGTCACCTTGACATCAAAGCTGGCAAATGTAAACTTTATGACAAACAGCACCTATTGCCTAAGTGTTTATAAATGTAGTTTATAAATGTAGGTCTATGTAATGAAAGGCTTATGTAGGTGTCATGTAGCCTTATGCACACTGCCCTACATAAAAAGGTTACCTACAGCCCTCTGTTGGGTCACCACAAGGAGAACAATGTGGTTCAACTGTTGGTGCTGGCTGCAGTTAGTTAGCATTTCAGTGTAAATCAGATGGTATCAGGACAAGAAAAAAAAGGAAAGCAAAGAGATCAAGGTTTTCATTTTAGGCTCATCTGTAGTCATTAAACTCTACTGGAGCAACAACCATGCTTCAGCTGTAATACTTGCTCCTATATATGTCATGGGTTACTGACCAATAACGAACCAACACTCAAGACCTCACCTAGAAGTCACCTGCAATCTCAACTTATCAATTAATGAACAATGACCAACTAATCAGTATTTAATAAGTATGTTGACTCTTTCAACTCACTACTGACTATTTCCCATAAAGAAGTCAGTTCTAATGCCACATTGGATACAGTTAACAGTGTAATAATCAACCACTGTATCTAAAGTTTTAGCCTGAATGGTAAATAGAGAACAAATGATGCAGATCGTCTTAAAAGACACAAAAAGAAAAAAGTTTATCCTACAAAGCACACATCTGCAAAATGCTGTTACTGCCAAAAACTTACTAAAATCTGTCCTGGGAACATAGCCAACAATGAAAGACAACCACTGGGGAACTATTAGCAAGGCCTTTTTTGCTTAATGCTAAGTGGCCCCTGCTAGCTCCCATCATTACCAATATCGACATTCCTCGGATAAGTATTTCTACAAGACATATTATACAACTAGCTGATTCTGAAGCGTAGGTGAAGTTGTGCTAACCTGAAGCCATTTGCATGTAGCCAGCCAGCGTGCAGATCCTCCTCTCACAGGTACCGCTGGGCAGGAAGATGGTGATGATGGCCAGCAGGGAGCTGACCGCCAGCAGCGCACAACCTCCAGAGCAGAGCACTGCACTTGTCTGAAAGCACAACACAACACAACACCACTCAATATAGTACATGACATTGCAACAATAAAGTTCATTTCATGTGCTCATTTTAACGTGGAAGCAACTTTTGTCCATTTAACGGATAACAGTGTCAGACACCACACAAGCAAGCCTACTTGAGATTACAACTCATTGCAGTGATTATTTAGACATTCAGTTTGCACAGAGCATAGACCTCCAGTACTTGTTAGTAGCATTAGCTTCACAGATCTAGTGCAGAACGTCTGATGGCAAACATGACGGCTGATCTGTTACATTAGGTGTAAGGTGAAAGTTGTGTTAATATGATTTTAGCATGTCTAATTCACACCCTGTTTGCTGCAACATAAACAGATGATTGAAATCTAACAACTTTATCACAGGCAGCTCAAATAATTGCAGAAGGACAATCATATATAACTGTGACAGGCATACTGGTACATAGTATAATTATGGTATGCATGGTGGAGTATTCTACTCTCTACCCCTATGCTGTACACTTCCATAATAGCAACGCTATTACATCAGTTGCCATTGAGGTTAGTCTAGCTCCACTGAGGTCAATCCAGTTCATGGCTGAAATGGGCTTTGTCAAGATCATTTTCTCAAAGACATTTGTTTAAAGTTTGTCTGATCTCTCCAGATGCTTCAGTTGTTCCACAGGAAGAAAAAAGGGTGAAATCAATCTATCAATGTACGTGCTTCCTGAGGGCAATAAATCATGTAAAAGAAATAGCATAGATCCGCCAAATCCACCAGTAACATCTATTCTTTAACAATCGAGATAAGCACAATCAGAATAAAAACAGTGACACAAAACACAGGGCATCAGCCTTCAAATAGGCACAGCAGGGACAGTCTAAAGCAGTGTGATTTTCCCCAACTGATGTTTGCTATAGCCATTTTCTGCTATCAGCAGGGGAGTGGAGTGATGTTGACTGTCTTTGTTAGGCTGAAGCTCATTGCGAAATGGAACAGCAGTCGGCTATGTTACTGTTAGGCAACCAATAGCTCATCTGAGACATCCATCCGTCTCTGATCAATACCGACAGTGGACAGAGGAAGAGACAATGACACATACGTTCACACACAAACTAACAGTGGGGGACCCTCAGGGCCTTCTAGGCCTTCAGAGAAGGTCTAATGATCTCTGTGAAATAAAATAAATACATGTCTATTTTTCGTTCGTTCATTTTCATTTAATATAATCATATATAATATATAAAAAAAATACTTTTATTTTATTTGTTAGGTATTGGTTGGAAACAAATGGGTTAAATACTTGAAACGCCCAGTGGAAAATGATCCAATTGAGATTATTTTCTCTGTCGTATCTAAGTAGATACAGCCAAGCTACCTCACCTGCTGGTTAGGAGTTCAGAAGTTGAACTGAAGGCCTAATATCAGATTAATCATCAATGTAGTGGAATCAACCAAACTCATTTTGATTTACAATAGGTGGGACCAATACTGTGAGAAAAAAAAAAGTTGCTCTAGACCTTCTAGAAGTCCTAAATACGTCACTGACTGTGAATAAGAGTGATAGCCTGACCAAGGCGTTTCAGTCAGATCTTAGAAATGGAAAACAGCAGCAGCTCTTTACTGTCAGGGCTCTTTACTGAAGGAGTCACTGTAAAACTGCTTCATACAAGGTGAAATGTGTTAATGCCTGTTTCAAGCATCAAATAAACAGGTTTTGCCTAAATACTAGGGATACACTGATACCACTTTTTCTGTTCTGATACCGATACCCATACCTGATTCTTGAGTATCGGCCAATACAGAGTAACAATACCAGTACTAACTCCTGATATTTATATAGTTCCACGTTTTATTTACTACTGTATTACTATTACTATTATACTGTAACCAAGCTTCTTGGAGGAATTCGCCTAACTAAATAGTAATGCCTAATAAAACGAGAAATGCACACAGGAATGAGAATAGATGGTAGACCAACAACAAAAACTCTTTTTCTCCGCCTCTTTTCAGCACTTCTCTGCCCTACAGTGCCACAAAAGGGACATTCACAGCTCATAACCATTTTGTAATAGAGATTGCATAAAATCTGTTACAGTATCACATAATTAGTAAAACAAACCACATTTAACAACTAAAAAAAATGCTAAATATTTTACTGCGCAAAATAATTAAAACACAGAACTGAACAATATATAGATAAACCTGTGATCTCTATACACAAGCATGCAGCAGCATCTCTAGCTTAGCAAAAATGGTGCTGAATGTTATTTCACATCTGAATTTCTCAAGTCATTTGTCTCAAATGTGTGCCCCGTTCACTCATGCTACATATCTGAGCATCAGACTCTGCTGGAGTTCAGTACATATATTGTAACGCCACAACATATACAGTGTTTAAGTGCAAGAATCAGCACCAATATTGAACCGTACCAAATATTGATTTGCGGTTTGTCTTTTCCAAATTATTGCTTAAAGCACCAAGGCTTCCATTAGAGTTATCACTACAAAAAAGCATGGGATAATTTTATATTCAATACTTCTTATTGGAGTTTCTTTGAAACAAGCAGAAAAATTCTGTTGAAAGTGCAGATTCTGACCTTCGTTCGATACCACATTTGCATTTTTATGTAAAAAAGTATACATTTTACTTGAAATTGATAGTCTTTAATGTGTTAAGTTACTGCAAGGCCAAAAAGAAGCCTGTTCATTTATTGAAAGCATTTTGTAAAACCAGGTGTAGTGTACACTCAGGTGCATGCATGCAGATCAACAAAACCAAAAGGTTTAAGCCCTTGGAAAAAGTAAAGACAGTGTAGCGTCAAGGCAGCAGAAAAAGAGAGAGAAAAAATTCAGAGATAAAGAGAAAGAGCAGCTACCCCTTGGTCCCATGCTGTTACTAGGTGGCCGCTCCACAGTGTCTGGGGGCACAAGGTGATTTCCCACTGATAGCTTTCTTCCTTATCCGGCGGTTTGATCTCAATGCCTCTTCATTATCCCTGGCCCTTTGATACTCTGCTTCCTTTCTTACCCTCTAAGCATCACCCAGACACTTACACATTCTGTTAGCACTTTTACATCTTGGGAATTTAAATCAAGGTTACGTAATACAGTGACATGCACCTATTCTACATACAAGGCCATTTAAAAGTGTGTTTGAACCTAAATGTATGGTAGCAGTCAAAAGTTTGGGCATTACTCAAAAAAAGGGTTTCATTATCTTTATAACTGTCTAAATTTTAGCTCATGTTCATACTTGGCAGGTTTGGTTCAATTAAAACAAGTTGCTCTGTTAGTGCGGTTCGTTCAAGCAAGTGAGGTTTCCAAACATATTCTAGTGCTTTTCATTTAAAATACGAATGCAAAGCAGACCAGAGACTACAGCATATACAGAATGAACCATCATTTTCTCTCTGCACACCTTCTTTGGTTCCAGCAACAAACGAGTTTCTGACATGGATTTGAAATCATTTCTTCATGAGTTTTCCATGGTTAATTATATAGAACGCATAGTTAAATGTGTAAATGAGGCTGAGGTATGTTCAAAGCCCTTATAAAATACACAATATACAGATATTTGACAAAACACATAAAGTATATTGTGTATGAATGTATTGTTTATGTATTATGTATGTATTAATGCACCAAGTTTTCAATGTTTTATAAAGCACTTAAGGCTGTGTATTACAGTGATTTTAATCTGATTCATGTTGTGGGAACACCATGTTCACAAGTGCTCATAAGACATCCATGGTTCAGGATGATTCACTGGATATTATCTCAGTTATTGCTGCCAACTGCACATCATAAATCTGCCCTATTTTGGTGATTTTCTTTGACTTTTGCTTACATCTTTTGGTTTGATGTCAAATATGTCAGTGTAAACATTAAGCAAAGCAGAACTTAAATGCAACAAACTATCATTTTCTGCATTGGTCAAGACCAAGGGAACCAAGCTATAAATATACAGTATGCAAGAGTCTGAATACACCTGGTCATAATACATCTTTTTGATTTTCTAAGTAAACCTAAGTTAACACATCCTGTACAGAGAATAAACTAATATTAGTTCAACATAAAAGGCATATATGTAAAGTAGTGCCATAACTTTAGCACAGGGCGCATTTATGTTTTATTATAAAATATATGAATTCAGCAAATAAACAGTATTTGTGCATTACAATGTGTACAAGTGGGTTCTCTGTAGAGGATGTTTTAAGTTTTTTTCACTTAGAAGATCAACAAAACATGGAATTTGACCAGGAGTGACAACAACTGTATTCTATAAGGTAAATAGAGAATAACAGTTTAACATAAACAGACTTTTGCAGTGACACAAATCCGAACGACGTTCTATTATAGATTTTTCAAAGGAGCCACCATTTTGCCTGGATGCAGCTTTGCACACAGCTTCTCTCAAGCAGCTTCATGAGAAAAACTGAAAAAGTTTAACATATGCAGAGCATTTATTGGCAGATCACTTTTTAAAATTTAAATTATTGTTTTGGAAATAAATTCATACAGAGGGATCTCTATTTATATTTTTCTTGAGAACTACTCGAGTTGGAGTGGTTTTACCACAGGAGGTCCTGGTAATGGAATCTGTGCGTGATTCGACTGGCTGATTTGTACTGGATAAAATATATATAATTTCCCCAAATTAACCCAAGTAGTCCAGATCGAAACACCATTGCGCAGATGTTTACAATAATGTTATGGGATGTTCTACTGATTGGTGTTCAGCCACAGCGTGTTATTGTTCAGAAGTGTGGGGTGATGCCTATTGTCATATACGTGATGATCTAAAAATTGGGTCAAATCAAGCTCTATTTTAGCAGTAAGCCATGACTGCAGAACGCAAAAAAACAAAAAGAAAAGGAGGTTTTGTTATTACATTACTGTGAAATCAATTTGAACAGGACTGCTGTTATTGAGGGAGTTCCGAGTTTGGCAAATATAGAAGTTAATTCGCTCCGGAATTATTACTCAGCAGAGAAATACAGACTGCAGAT